AACTTTATAATGCACATTGTTTAGTCAATTTGTATTCTATATGTCATTTTCATAGTTTATTGCACCATGCTTCAGAATGTTGTCTTATATATTATTCATAAATAATAATAAATAAATTGTTGTTATGATTAACAGCAACAAAACTTTGCTAAAATAATAAAATAGTATATTAATCATGTGACAAACATTTTGCATGAAGGTAAGCATGTACAGGATGCTAAAAAGAGTGCTTCAAGAGACTTAAAGGATTAGTACTCACCAAGAGAACTAAAAAATATCCAGTCAAATGGATCTAAAAGTTAATCCTACCAACAAAAAATCAACTTTTAGTATCTAAGAATTTTCGATAACATGAGTGAGTTTCACTGCGACATAATGAATGTAAATAGAGAAATTTATTCAGAAGTTCAAGGTTGTCAACACAAGATTATAGTCTCGACAAGGATTCTTTTATAAATGTAAATGTAATACACATACCTCCTTTGTTATAATCAGTTTTGTAGTAGGTAGTAGATTGGTGGATAGGGATGAGAGGCCTCAATCTCCTGATTTGAATCCATTAGATTTTTTGTTTTGGGGACAATTAAAAGTAATAGTCTATTCATTATAATGAAAATGCATGTCAAACAATACGTGATTCGGGAGGAATACTTGCAGATGTACATCAATCAATGATCTATACATGTGAACTTTGCATTCTAACTGAGGGAAGACATATGGAAAACTTACTGTGACAAGGAAGGTTTGTATTAAGTTTGCATTTATGAAAGAATCCTTGTTGATGCTTAACATTACCATATTATCGAATATTTTTAGATATTCAAAATTTATTTTCTGTAGAAAGGATTGACTTTTGAACCCATATTGATTGGACATTCTTTGCTTCTCTCGATGAGTACTATAAATCTTTAAGGTCTTGATCCTCTTCTTTTTAACATCCTGTGTTTGAATTTATAGGGGTTTTTCATTTCCATTATTATAAGTACTAATGATAAGATAGTAATATAATTATCTTTCATTTGTTTGGTTGCAGATATTTACATAAATTGAAGAAACAAGAAAAATGAGTTTGCAGTGGACACTGATTGCTGGTTTTCTTTACGCTGAAATTATTTTTGTGTTATTATTAGTTTTACCAGTAGCATCGCCTACTAGATGGAACAGGCTTTTCAAATCAAGATTCCTAAAAAATATAACTGGTAAAGCTACAATCTATTTTGTGGTTCTTCTCATTCTATTAGTCTTAGTGTTATTAGATTCTATAAGAGAAATGCGAAAATATACTACAGCTACAGAACATTTAGGAGAACGTGCTCACTTAGATGCTGAAATGCAAGGTATACATTAATTCTTGTACCATATTTTATGCTATAACATTATTTTTTAATTAAGAAGCTATGTTATTCCCTTAATTTATAATCTTTCTATTGTTTTTTATAGGTAACATGAAATTATTCAGAGCACAAAGAAATTTTCATTTATCAGGTTTTGCACTATTCTTAGTCCTAGTTATACGCCGTCTTGTGGTATTAATTTCTACTCAAGCAACATTGTTAGCATCAAGTGCAGCAGCTATGCGACAAGCAGAGTCTGCAACAACAACAGCAAAAAGTTTATTGTCACAAAAGACAACTGGAGAAAGTGCACAAAATGATTCAAATGAAGCATGTGATAAAGCTGTATCTGAATTAAAAAATCAGCTTAAAGAATTACAAGATAAAAATCAAGAATTAGAAAAACAGATCGAGAAGGAACAAAAGGATAAAATGGCTATAAAATCACAAGCTGAATCCCTTGCTAAAGCATATGAACGTTTATGTGATGAACATGCCACGGTATCTGCTTCAGATGGTGATAAGAAAAATGATTAAATTATAATTCATTAAGAACAGTATACATTTACTTACTAAATTAATTTACAATAAACATATAGTATTTTATTTAAATATAAGATTTATGATATTAAAATAAGCTATCTTTTACACTTTCAATTTAAAATTCTGTTGAAAATTTAGAATACGTGTTACTTCGTACACTTATTTTACTAAAGAATTAAGAAAATAAATCTTTGTGATAAAGACATCTAAGTATGCGTGTCTGCATAACAATGCAGTGTTAAGCTGACAAGATATATATAGTATGTATGGTTTCATTAGTTAGAGATTTGTTAAAAGAGGTGTCTTCGTTATTTTACACATGTATATGTATGTACGAAGCTGTGGCTATTGACTTGTTAATGAATTTTAACTTGAATTTTCAACTTAGCAACTACATAAAGTGATGTACACTCTAAGTCTATCATTTTTACATATATGTTCATAACGTTTCCACCCATCTAGTTTACGAAAGAACAACCTCTTAATATATGACTTATGATAAGTAAAGTGGCCTCTATATGCAAAACCCGTGATACCTACTTAAGAAGGGATCGAACGAATTTTTGAGGAATCAATTACATTTCAAGGTAGATGTATACAATTTCTGTAAAAGTCTCGATAGTAATAAAAGTTTCGAAGTCTCGATAGTAATAAAAGTCTCGAAGTCTCGATAACGTAAAAGTGATGGTCTTTGAGTATACATATTAACCACCATGGCATTACTCGACTAACAAATATTAGATCAGAGCATACATATACCACAAATTTTTTAATTAATTTTTAATGAAGATCAAAGCACACAAGAACGCAGACTCTTCTTCCTTAACATATTTTATATTAACACTAGAACTACCAGATCAAATAAAGTGATTCTTTTCACAATTATTTCTTTTAATGCATGGTAGTTCTAGTGTTAAAATCGTATTACATTATTATTTGTTATGCCTGAAATATTTTTATTTCTAATATTCAATAAATAAATAATTTAATGTGTTATAACAATTTTTTATAAATATCTTAATCGATTATGAAATTTTCAATCTCAATTACGAAATGTTAAAAAGCTCACTGTGTTAAAAACTATGGAAAAACTAAATAACAAGATGACATGTAATATTTTTAATAACTGCTAAGTATCAAGTTTTATGATAAATTTTTTTTACTTTATACTCGAAAGTTTCAAAATACATTTTTTGTACGTTTGCTGAATGTATAATAGCTCCATAACATTTATATTATTACAAAAATTGGTATGTATGCTAATTTTTAATACCACATTTTAAAGTTATCACCCATAAAGGTAGCAGGTCAAGTAAAATAATCTACCCAGTAAACAATTTAGCACGGAAATGGTATGAATTTGGCACCTAACTGCCTAAGACCATATTTGCATACTACCAGACACGGCGTTTGTATTGCGCGTGAATAAGAAAGCCAAGAGTTCAGTGAAGCAAAGATAGCTTACTGAATATGTGGCACGTAGTACAAAGATGATCATTCAAAATGGCTGACATGGTATCAGGTTTCAAGTTCGAATCTTATATGCTATCCACTCATGTCCACTATTGATCATCATGTGTGTGAACATAATTATGAACAGTTTTGAAAATAATGTGTTATGTCAAAGGCTGCAAAGAGAATCAACATAGTGATGGGAATATATCTTTTCAGCATATGTCCTATGCATATACCATATAAAATCAATTGAATTTGTTTTCTGAAAATTAAACATTTTTGCATATTTATTAAAGTCGAATATTAAAACAGTTCAACATTAGAGGAGCTACTCTGCCACTACCATTCTACTGCGCATCCAGTATCGCGCAATTGCTTTAGAAAGAGAACGAGAAATGATCAAGGGAGACAGAATGAAATCAGGAGGCTATATGTGTGAGTGTCCACATGGACGAAACCTAGCCATCTCACTTTGCGTGCTTACGACGTAGTCATGAGTTGATTTATGTAAAACAATTATTGCGAATCTGGCCACCGCGGAGGTGGCGCAGATATGTTTCCTCGCCATTTTGGCATACACAAGAACGATTTATGTAAAACACCAGAACTTCTTTCAAAATGGCATTTATACATTAGAATGTGGCGACTACCTCCAGACCCGCCAGCAGATGGATTCTCTTTTCCCGCAAGTAACCGATCTGCCTCCATTTGTATATATGCAAATTTCGTCTGTCCTTTCGACATTCCAACGTCTAAGGCAAGGGCCTGCTAGAATAGTCTTACTGATGAGTCCTCCGGTGGGTCCTGAATCAAACGTTCAACCCTCTCCTTTTCCATAGAATATGGATTTACTCCGTCATATTTCAGCCGCCGCCAAAAAAAGCTCATTAGGAAAAGTGTATTGAAACAAATAGGTCACATATTTCAATCAAATAAATATCTTTCAAGAAAAGATATGAAATTTTACTATTCATTTGTAACATTCATTAATTTTCTCGCGCTAACATTCAGGGCAATGCATTAATTAGCTAGACCTGATCCTGCTCTACTTGTCGAAATATTTCGTACAGACACATACGTTCAAAACATCTCAATGTGCATTGAGCATCGCTGGGGGTGGAGGATTTGTCACATTATGGGCAGGCATTGGATATAATGGGAAGACCAAAATCAAGTTCATTGATGGTAGAATGGAAAGTAGTAATTATACACTTAAAACTGATATAAGAGCAAATTCGGGATCATGCTCGCAGAGTTGCTGTCGAAGATTTCATATTTCAGCAGGACAATTCAGCTGTTTATACAGTTAAAGTTGTAAAAAATTATTTTCAAGCTGAAAATACACCAATTTTAGATTGGTTATCACAGTCTCTGGACCTCAATAATATAGAAAATGTGTAAGGTCAATTGAGTAGAGTAGAACAGTCGGCCGCCGTGACGCGGCGGTGCGGGGTGCGGCCCCTCGCATCGCTGAATCAAGAAGATTCAAGGGGGGAGGATTCATCTCCCCCCGGGACGCGGCCGGCCAACGCTTTTCTATCCTGGTGTCCGGCCAGGTGAGGGGGAGCCGCGGTAGTGTTCTTCAAGAGTTCCCGTGGCTTCCCCGTAATCCGCCAGCGTCAGGCACAGCGTCCCTAGATCGCCATGGGGGTTTTAGCGAGTCAAATCTCCCACTACCCCCGCCCCGCCCGGGGGAGCGGAGATTTGCTGTCTGACCAGCAGATTTCCCCAACGTAAAAAAGAGTAGAACAGTATTCAAAGATGGCAAACAATATAATAATTTTAATGATTCGATAGTAGCAATTCTGAAAGATTATACAAACTTAGATCAAAAGTATAGAAAAAAATTGTATAAAAATCTGCTGAAACGAATGATCGAAATTGTTCAAAATAACATTTCAAAATGTGTGAAAATTTTCTGAAGTTTTGTACATTTTTTTAATTTTTTAAGCAGTGTCTTATAATTATATCCAGATGAAATTGTATTATTCTTGAATAAATTAGGAACTTATTATTTTTCGCAAAATTGATGAAGATATCATTAAAAAAAAACAATTTTGATTTCATGAAATATATTTTCATATAATTATAGTATTAGGTATCTAAACCAATAATTTTCAGAATATCTTATAATATTGTCCATCAGTGTACTTAAATGATATTTGTATTTAACTAATTTCGTGTCCTAACAGAATTCAACGAATAATTTGCAAAGCTATTTTATTGACAAATAACCCCGTTAAAGGACGTAATAAGAAACTCACCCATTAAGTCGTAAATCCACTTTATGTGTGCACGCGGAAATGTGTGCAGGAGAGTAGTGCTTTGACCTCGTACAATGTATGATGAACTGTACAGATTTTTATATGAGATGCGTTCGAAATTCGCAGCGTTAGCATTACATACCGCAGTTATGTCATGTTTTCTCATGTTCTCCTGAAGCCTTCATAGCATTTGCAAAATAAACGCGTTGCCATTACACACACCGCATACAACGTCCTTACAACGTCCTTTTCATATTAATGCTCGGGCCAATTGCAGAAAACTGGCATGATGACCAACAATGTTTTGTTTTCCTACAAGCGAATTTCAAGCGTTTTCCATCCAACGTAAAATGTTGTTGGCCACATCGTGCAGTATTCCACAGTCCCTTCCGCGTATCATAATGGAAAGAACACTGCAAGAATATTATAATATGATTTTCTTGATTACTCTTGTACGGTGCTAACAGCGGCAACGTGTTTACTCCAAGGATAACAAAATAACAAAAAAACTAAACGATCTATCTAATTCTATTTTGAAATATTCAATAGATCAGTTCTTTTGCCATAAGAATGCATAGTGTCAATAGTTTTACCTACGTTTGCTTGTTTTATCTTTTTTTTTTAAAGGTGCATTTTCTTCCATTCATCAATTGGTTGTATTTATTTTATTTATTCACATAATTCTCACCTCTCGGCTCTTTTTTAATTTAACCTCCGACTTATACGACTACTTTATATAATCTTTGGGCGGGGGGTGGTCTAATATTCTTAAATTAAGTGCATATTAGAGTATTAGAATATTGTGAAGAATATTGTGTCTATTCTAAATCTCTAAATAAAAACATGTCTCTTCTTCTTTCTCCCTCTCTTCTTCCCGCAGCTTGCTTATTACAAGATCATTTTCACCTCCTTTCTTTTTCCTTCTTTCACTTTCTCGTTCTATCCACTTCATTGCTTCCAAGCATTCTCCTGTTTTGCTCAACAGTTGATCCATCCTTCGTATCCCCTTAGTATCTTCGCAATTTTCCATTATGTACTGTATATTTTCCTCATCTCCCTCACAGATTGTGCATATTCTGTCCTCCCTGTCTCTCCAGTGTTGTTTCCTTCTTGCTTCAATGTAAAATCTAAACCTCGCAATCAAAAACCTCCACCCCTTTAAATAACTAGGTAGTTCTAATGTGATTTCTTCTTGGTAATAGCTGTTTTATTTTGTGCCGTTTATTTTTTCCACCCTGCCTCTTAATTCTGTTCAAAATGTGTTTTTCTGCTTCACCATTTTTCTGAAGCTTATATCCCAGATATAATATCCAATACTACTCAATTAGGTCGTCCCTCCACCTCCACTCCCTTGCCTTCTTCCTTCTTCCTCTTTCTTTCTCGAAGACCATTATTTTCGTTTTCTTTGTATATTTTTTGATACATTTTATCGTCTCTCTTAGAACTGTTTCCGAGGTGGACAATAGCACCATGTCATCGACGTATGCTAGCGATCATATTTTTGTCCCTCAAATTAGTACTCCCCCCTCTCCTCCTTCTGCTTTTCTTAGTTCTTCGTCTAGCTACGTTACGAAAATGTTAAAGATGGTAGGGCTGAGCGGACATCCCTGCCTGACTCCCCCCGCGGTTCAGAATTCCTCTTGTTTTTACTATATTCCTTATGCTGTGTGTGTGTGTGTTTTCTCTACTTTACAAATTCTTCTCTGCTTATTTTCCCTTTCCTCAACTTCCTTCGCTTTGCTCTCAATTTTCTTTTCATTCGCATCCATTATTTACTGTGCCATGGTTTTTCCCCTAGCAACCATTTTTAAAGTATTTTTTTCTCCTTCTCAATTGCTGCCTTTACTTTATCTCTTACTTCATCCCATAGATTTTCTATGCTGCTTGTCGCCACTTTTTATCCTTCACATCCTTTTCAGTTTTT